TCCCTCCCTCCCTCTCCCTCCCTCCCTCTCTCTCTCCCTCCCTCTCTCCCCCCTCTCTCCCCTTTCTCTTCCTCTCTCCCTCCCTCCTTCTCTCCCTCGCTCCCTCTCTCTCCCTCCCTCTCCCTCCCCCCTCTCTCTCATGGGAACACAGATACCTCTATATGAGCCCACTTGAAATTCGGAGGACACTTGCGAAGGGGTTTTGGGTTTTTTTGCACCAGATGAATCCCTGGAAGATGCTTCCCCATGAACACAACTGACAAGGGGTCGGTGGGGGGTGTGTGTGAGAGGATTCAGCCTCTTCCTTTTGCCCTCTATGTGTAACACTCCCCCTCCTTCTCTCTTTTTACAATTACTATTTGCATTTCAACCTTTTTATGCTGGATTATGGCCTCGATCTAGATTTGACGGACTGGTTCCTTTTAGCCCCTCCCTTTCTTGAATTCCCCTAGCTTATTCTTTCACGAGCGGGGGGGGGCAGGGGGGGGTTGAGAGAGGGAGATATTTCCAAACAAAACTGCAGCAAGCTTGGGAGGCATTTTCTCAGTGAGAATCTTTTGCACCCTCCCTTTTCTAGAAAATTGTATGCTGTCCAGAGTCAGCTTGTAGGGAAGAAGTATGGCATCATAAATACATTAAATTAAATTAAATTAAATTAAATTAAATTAAATTAAATTAAATTAAATTAAATTAAATTAAATTAAATTAAATTAAATTAAATTAAATTAAATTAAATTAAATTATTAAATTAAATTAAATTAAATATTACACTTGTTGCTATCCCTGATCCCATGTGGGGAAGAAAGGTGGCATAACAAACAAGCAATAAATAAAATAAAATAAAAATAAAATATACAAATATTACTCTTGTTGCTATCCCTGATGCCACGTGGGGAAGAAGGGCAGCATAACAAACAATAAAATAAAATAAAAACAAATATTAATTTTGTTGCTATCCCTGATGCCATGTGGGGAAGAAGAGTGGCATAACCAACAAGCAATAAATAACATAAAATAAAATAAAAACAAATATTAATCTTGTTGCTATCCCTGATGCCATGTGGGGAAGAAGGGTGGCATAAACAAACAAACAATGTAAATAAATAAAATATTAATCTCATTTCTATCCCTGATGCCACGTGGGGACCCTCTGACCTGAACCCTTGGTCCAAACTGGAGGTGAGACCCCCCCAACCTTCTCTCTCCTGCTCCTCACCGCTTACCACAGGGATCCCCAACTCTCTGCCCACGGCCCACTACCGAGTCTTGAGCCTTTCAGAACTGGGATGAGCGGTGCACAAATGGGGCTGGGCATGAGCGTGCTTGCCAACCACGCGTGTGGAACCATCCCCTCCCCCTTCCCCAGCCAGTCCACAAAGCTGAAGTCCTTCAGACTTCTCCCGAGGATCTTCCCATCATCGAAGGAAATCGTCCAAGAGTTGGAGGAAGCCAAAGTAAGCCCCCTCCCCAACTGAAGCCCCTCTCCTCTCTCTCCCCCCCTGCAGAGCCTCCAAAAGTGATGGTCTACCCGGAGCAGGAGGTGGAGCTGGGGGAACCCAACGTACTGATCTGCATGGCGGACAACTTCTCTCCCCCGGTGCTGAACATGACCTGGTTGAAGAATGGCCATCTGGTGACCGAAGGGGTGCAGACCATGGATTACTACCCCAAGAAGAACCACGCCTTCCGCCGGTTCTCCTACCTGACCTTTGTCCCAAACCAGGACGATAACTACATCTGTGAGGTGGATCATTGGGGCCTCAAGGAGCCTCTGGGCAAGCTTTGGAGTAAGCAGAAGAAGGAGGGGAGCAGCAGTGGGTGGGAATCAGGCCCCCTTGGCTTTTTTTACACAGGGCAGCCTTTTGGGTCAGGGGTCCCATATATCTAAGCCAATGGGAAAAAGAGGGTGTCCCCTTGGAAAACCCCACTTCTGAAACTGTCAATGGGGTGGGGTGGGGTGGGGTGGAGAGCGGAGCAGAGCAGAGCAGAGCAGAGCAGAGCAAGAGAGGAATGGAGTGGAGTGGAGTGGAATAGAATAGGGAATGCAGAATAGAAGAGAATGCAGAATAATAGAACAGAATATAGAAGGGAAGGGAAGAGGAGAATGGAATGGAATGGAATGGAATGGAAGAATAGAATAGAATAGAATAGAATAGAATAGAATAGAATAGAATAGAATAGAATAGAATAGAATAGAACAGAGGAACGGAATGTAGAACAGAAGAGAATGCAGAATAATAGAACAACAGAACAGAACAGAATAGAATATAGAAGGGAAGGGAAGAGGATAGAACAGAACAGAACAGAACAGAAGCAGGGGAACTACCTGCCACTTGAAGCCACGCTGGGGGCGCCGGTTTGGCTCCTTCACTGGAGGGTTTCAAGAAAGGGTTGGGCAGCCATTTCTCTGGGAAAGTTTGAAGATTCCTGGTCTGGGTGGGGAGGGGGCGTTGGACTAGATGACCTCCAAAGTCCCTTGCAGTCCTAGGCATCTGTGACTTGCTGAAATTTGATTTGTTCTGGCTGTCCCCCCCCCTCCGCCCCTCACTGTGGATCCTCCCGGGGAATCCCTGCGGTGCCTTCTGGAACAGGGAGGGATTAGATGGCAGCCTTCCCACCTTGTCCTTTTCTTCTTCCCCTCCCCCTAGATGCCAATATCCCAGAGCCCCTCCCGGAGACGACCGAGAATGTGGTGTGCGCCCTGGGCCTGGCGATCGGCATTGTGGGCATTGTGGTTGGCACCTTCCTGATGATAAAGAGCAGGAAGATGGGAGAGGCCAGCTACCGCCGAGGGCATCTGTAAGTTCCCGGACCCTCTGAGTTCTGTGTTGGGGGGGAGGACGAGGGAGGGGGGAATCCACCAGTTGGGGTGGGGAAGATTCACATCGGGACCCCAATGTCAGGCAAAGCTAGGAAGCGGGGGGGGGGGAGATATCTGGGCTGCAAAACCCCAGAGAGCCACTAGGGGGCAGCCAGTGGGAGTCTCTATTGTGCCCCTCCTAGCGGCCCTCTGAGGTTTTTGCATGAGGGAGCTCCAGCAAGAGCTTCCTGTCCGGAGTGTGATGTGCGAACGGTTGCGTGCGTTTCTCCGGGCTCTGTTGCTTCTTCAACAAACCACCATTTTAAAAAAAAAAAACAAAAACAAACCATGACTCTGAAGAGAGCCAGTCTAGTGACACCCCCGCAGTCAACCATGACTCTGAAGAGAGCCAGTCTAGTGACACCCCCGCAGTCAAGGATTTTGCAACAGATCAAAACAATCAAGATGGCAACCGGAACTAGAAAGGGGAGGGGCCTGCTTTGATTGCAGGATCGTGGCCTCCATCTTGATTTTTGGATCCCCCCTCCCCCCCCTAGACCTTAATTGAACTATTGCATGATTCTCTGAGAGGAAGCCATGATGGGTTGGCTTCTGCCCCCTCAGCCCCTCAGCCAGGTGGGGCTTCCTCCTGAAATGGGGGAGGGGCTGAGGAGGAAGGGATGACTTTGGGAAGCCCCTCCCCCCCATGGAAGACCCACAGAGATCAGGCACAGCATTATACATC